ACAAATAAAAATTAAAATAAAATACGTGGGAAGTAATAAAATAAAGTGGAAAAAAATATATTAAATGATTGAAAATTGGATTATTTGATGGCAAACAGGAAATTGGAATTTTTCTCCTTTATTTTCAAGAAATAAATAAATGAAATTGATACTAAGTAAACAAAAAATAATTTTCCAATTAAATTTTAAAAATAAATCTTAGGGAAAGTGTCCTTTATTTGGGGGTCTAGACCTCAACTGAGTCTCGGCCTCATAACTTTGGAATAAATGAAGTTTTTAATTTCTTCTAAATTTTATTAAATAGAGAATTAAATTAGCTTTAAAACAAAATTAAATTGATAAATTTATATTAAAAACAAAAAAAAGTTGGAAGCAAAAAATTTAAAAAAATCAATAAAAAATTTTTAATTTTCGACCTTCTTTTGGCCATAAAATTTTTGTATAAATTTTTAAAAATTTAGCTTTTAGGCTTTTCTTGAAGCCAATTTTATGCTCTATCGAATGATACCAAGAATACCTAAAGATGGTTCATCCTTCGTCGATATATACGAAAAAGTATCACTGCACATGATAAAATAATTTTAATAATATTCTCCTTTATTTTCTCATTAAAATCTGTTAAAATTCAAGTAATTTATTTTTTCAAAATTTTTACTTATTTTTAAACTTATTTTTATTTTTCTTCTTTTATTTCTTCCTTTACCTCCTCAATTTTTGGAATTTCCCTTTCTTTATTGTTCAATAATTGTGCACTAATTAATTCGGAAGACTCCAAGGCTGACCGTTTTTGATTCCATTCTCTTTCAACATTTAAATCTTCAATTCTACGCCATTCTTCTAATGAATCTATTCGATTATGAAATTCTTGTTCGAGAGCTGTCTAATTTTTAAAAGAAATTTTTAAAAAATTTTTTTGAAATTTTTACTTGTTTTTCGCGCATTTCTTTTTCCAATTCAGAAAATTTTCCTTTCCATTCAGTATGGACCTAGAATTAATTTCAATATGATTATATTGCTCGAAGAAATTTTAAAGAAAATTCTGAAGTTAATTCCCCCTGGTACTATCTATAAAATCAACAAAGTTGCCTCGGGTCCCTTCAAGTTCCTTCGGGTCCCTTCACGTTCCCTCAATCCCTCAGGATTCCTCGGGTCTCTTCAATATCGAAAGTTAACTCTTAAAGATATTAGCCACCTAAATCCAACAATCTCGACAACTAATTCGAAAAAAAATCCTCCAAGTTCCTTACTTTTGCATGTTCCAACCGCCGTCTTCTATCAATTTCAGCAGCCGCCCTTTGCAATTCAGCCCTCCTATCCAACCAATTAGCCACTCCTGTCAAGATTCGGTTATTTTCTTTTGCCGCTCGGGAAGCATCTTCAGCCTCATTTAGAGCCCCGTTTAATTCCAATTCGAGTCCTCGTTGAAGTGATTGGACCTTTTTTGTGATTTTTTTGGAATTAAAAGGAAATTACTCACCCAAAGATGCCGTGGATCCATTCTTTAATTTTTAATGATTTTTAAAAATAATAAAAAAATAAAATTGAAAGAACAAATTCTTCTTTGATTTAAATCAATAAAAAATGAAAGAACGATTGGGGGGATATAGTGGGGATAAATAAAAAATTAAATGTTCTGATCACATGCTTTTTTGTTTTTGAAAAAGTTTCTTGTTTCTCTGTTCCTTTCGATTTTTTTAAAAGTTCAATTTTTCTTTTAATTGGAAAATTCTTGGAAAAGAATTTAAAAAAAATTTAATAAATCAAAATTTTTTTACAGTAGCGGCAAAAAAATACAGAAAAGGACAAATGAAATGAAAAAATTGCCTTATTTTCTCTGTTAAAATTTTATTTTTAGGAAAATTTTTGTTTGAATATTTAATTTAAATCTTTATTTAGTAAGTGTAAAGCTTGCCGGATTAATATCTTTTGGTATCCAGCCTAATACTGAAAGTATAACTAAAATCAAACATTCTCATTAAAACAATGTTTCTTCATATAAAAACAAATGTTTTACTAAATCATCGCAACATTTTTAAAACAACAAACAATAGGTCATTTCCGGAAACGTCAAACAAACATTCCCTAGCGTCAACAAAAACAATTATTAATTTATCTTTGATGTCATAAAATGAAAAAAAATTTTTTTAATTAAAATTTTACATTTGATTTAACAAGATTTTGAGAAAAGGAAGATTTAAAAACGAGAAAAAATAAATTATTATCTCAACCGTTGACAACTACGTAGAAAACTTTTTGTCAAGTATTTGGGAGGAGTTTTATATTTAAATAAAATAAATAAATATTCTCTCCTTTTTTAAAAGTAAAATAAAAAATCTTTTAAATTTAATTCTTATCAGATTCTATTAAAAATTTAAAAAACATAAAAATGTTCCTAACCTTTAAATGTCTACTAATCCTCGTTATCTGCGAAGTTTTAATTAATATTGTCTGTTCTGCTAATAAGTTGGTTATTTTTAATGTTTGGGGAAACAAAACAAACAATTTAAATGTTTTCCGTAAAGTCTTATAAGAATATAGACAATAGGAAAATAGGAGATTTGTCTCTAACGTTTTCCGGAAAATGTTTCTCATATATTATTCAAAGAATTAGAGACAACGGGAAACTAGGAGATTTTCTCTAACACATTCCGGAAGGCATGTTAGAGAATGTTTTCCGGAAGATGTTTATATTTTTTAAAAGATATATGTAGACAACGTAAAACTAGGAGACTTTCTCTAACCTTTTCCATAAATTTAAATATTTTCCGGAAAGCTTGTTTATACTAAAAACACTAACAAACATGTATTCCAAACAAACATTAAACTTGTTTTTATAGTGAACAACATAATTCTCTATTGGAAACAAAAACACAAAACAACAACCCCCGAGAAATGGACAAACGTCATTTATTCAGTCTTTATTCAATTTTAAACAATAAAAGAAGCGATTCAAACTTTCTTGGAGGTTTTGACGCTCTTTCAGTAAATACTCGATCCCTTGAAGGAATTCGAAATAATTGTTATTTCTCTCCCATTCAATGCTATTATATGGAGGAAAGAAAACGTCGGAGTGTTAAATAATTTGATGATTTTTAAGAGAAAAAGGAATTAAATATTTTAAAGCTTTTTTTATAAAAAACGTTCAAGTATCTCATTCTCTTTAAATATTTTCCTCAATTTTATTTAAAAAATTTTGTGATGGAAATAAAACCAAGCTTCATTCTAATAAATTTTAATAATTTTAATTGTTTGAAATGAACATAAATTTTAATAATTAAAACTTTAAAATTAATAAAAACTTTAGTATAGACAATAGGAAAACAAGAGAGTTTCTCTAACATTTTCCGGAAAAGTTTGTTTACTCTGTTCCGGAAACTATTAAATCTATTATAGACAACAGGAAAAGAGGAGAGTCTCTCTAGCATTTTCCGGAAGTAACACTCTATTGTTCCGGAAAATGTTTAAAACATATTTTCCGGAAGCAAGAATCTCTCCTTTAAGCATACTATTTTCTCTCTAATTTTTCTCTCATCTCCCACCAAAAAGCACTCCTTGCAATACTCCCACCATTCCAATTCCAAAAGGGCCATAGGGACATAAAATTTAAATTTTCAAAAATATTCCTTAATAAAAAAACCATTTCCTCCTTGTGGAGTAGATCCTCTTCTCGGAGCTGTCCAGTCAATAAACATTGGATATTGACGTTTAATCCTTTTTTTAGAATAATTAATTAAATTCCCCTCCCCACAAATTCACCTTATTTCTGCAGTATTAAATTCAATAATAATTAATAAAATAAAAAATAAAAAGAATAAATTAAATAAAATTCTCATTATTTTTTTTAATTTTGTGTTTCGATAAAATGCGTAACAATTCAAAATTTTTTTGATAAAAAATATTTTAAATTCAACAACTCTTTAAATTCAATAAAATTTTTTTAATTTAATTAGGACAACTCAAAACCTGAATTTAAACAAATTTAAAAGAAAACAATTCGGGGAACAACATAGAAAATTGATTTTAAATAATTTTATATGATTGATGTTTAAATTTTAAATAAAATGTTTTAATTTTATTTGAAATTTTGAAAAATTTTTTAAAACAGAAAAATGTATTTTTTAATTGAAAAATGAATTATTTTTTAATTAATTTCTTTATTTTCTCCTCATTTTTATTTAAATTTCTGGACGGAGAAAAAAATTTAATTAAAAGGTAAAGAATTAAAATTATCTTGGATGGGTAGTCTAATTAAAGCTTCCTGTGCTTCTATTCTTAAACAAGCTTATTTGACTTGGATTGTATTAGAATGGATTGTATTAGAGAGCTTCTAATAGAGCCGGGCCTTAATTAGTGCATTCACGACAACTCGAATTAATTTAAATTTAAAAGGTCTTTTGATGATTATGACGGCGGCGATTCTCCTCCTTTATTTATTGACTGGACCCAGCCGAGAATAAATCCACAACCAAATTCCTTCTACTATAAAAACAAACCATAGTAAGCACAAACAAAAAAATTAAAAATACGTTCCGGAAAACTTTATTTTAAAAGTTCTGCCGTTGAAACTGGAGAAAGAATATATCCAAACAAGAATGGCAAAGGAAAAGGAGATTATGGGCCTTTTGGTGTTGGTTTGGTTGGGTTGATTAAAGGAGATGGAAAAGAAGAAAGTGAATCGTCTCCATTGAGTTGGTTAAAAGGGTTGTTATTCGGGGGATAATTTAAAAAAACTTTTTTGACTAAATGAAATGATTTGCCCAGCCTTAAGGGGAGAGGGATCTAATTGACCGTTCTATTCTTCTTTGTAAAATCTTAAATTTAAAAAAGAAATCTAAAAAAAAATAATTTTTTATTAAAAGGCACAAAATAATCTCACTCTATAATTGCCACCTTAATTGCCACACAAATTTAATTAAATATTAATTTTAATATAGAGTGAAATATAAATTAAAAACAGTTAAAAGTGAATAAATTTTAAAGAGAAATTTTTTTGATTTTTTTTATAAAAATATTCTTTCAATAATTAAAATAAAGAAAATAAAAATTAAAATAGTTAAAAATGAGCACCGTAAAAAGCGATTATTACCACCATTACAAAGATTGGTTGAGCAGAGGCATAATCTTTGCAAACTTTTCCTTACTTCCATAGAACCGGGAAGAAAATTTCTTTAAAAAATTTTCAAAATTTTTTTTTTAATTTTTCTACCTATAAATTTCAGGCTTTTCAATACATCCATCTCTTCCTTCTATGGGGAAGTCTTTAAAAAATTTTTAATCCAAAAAATTTTATTTAAAATACCATAGTTAACTCTTTGATCACAACCACTTCCAACCCAATATTGCCTTTAAAAATAAATTTATTTTCTTTAAAAAATTCTTTAAAATTTCACCTATACGTTATTTGCATTGAAATTGTAACGCAAGTGTCTTGATGAGGTTCGCATTCTAACGGTTCCATTTCGCATACAGGCAAAGGCAAACCTTGACGTACCCGAAATTGGTCTAACACTGTTGTATCTATTTTTGGTATTTAAAAATATTTTTGAAAATATTTAAACACAAATAGTGTGAGGGAACGGCTCTTTGACTTAAAAATTCAGCCTAAAAAATTCAGCCCCTGAGTAAAACCCCAAAACTTTCTCTAAAAGAACCCTCTCCAACCCCCTAATTTTTTAATTAAAAATAAATTTTTTCTCGCTAACCACTTTCCACTTTAACACAACTCATACAATAAAGTCTTGCAATTGTTGCTAAAGCTGCGGCAGTGACAATATGTTGACCGGCTGTCAATAACCAAAACAAAGGTAGAAAGACAAAAATGGGCCTTTGAATAATTTCTGTAATTCTCCATAAAAGGGACATCACAGAGAATTTCAAAAATATTTTTCTAAAAAATTTTTAAAAATTTTGGGATAAAATGCCCTTCAGAAAAGTTTCTTGTTTGACTTAAAAATGTTTGAATCTTCTTTTAAAAACAAATTTCTAAAAAGGGCCAAATGTTTAAAAATTGGAAGAAGCAGCAAAGTCCATAAGCATCGATGCCTTTGAAAACGGGCCAGATAATGACAAGCAAATAGCGGAAGGAATAAAAAGTAATAGGAGAGAGATAGAGGAGGGGAAGGAAATGACGCCGTTAAAAAAAAGTTGGGGGGCTCTATTTCCATTCCCTCGGGGCGCGCATTTCTCTCGTCTATATATTTAAATGCTTAAATGTGATGTTAAAAAGGGGAAAATTTGTTGGCATTTTAGGAAGAGACGTTTTAAAGGATTGGAAGGAGAAAGAGAGAGAAAAAGTTAAAATGAAATAAAAAAAAAGAAAAATAGCCAAAATGAGTGAAGGCCAGAACATAAGGATGATGAAGCTAAAAGGGAGAGTTGAGGGCTTTATTTTTTTGTTAGTTGCCTTCCGACGCTTTTTTTAAACTCTCAGGATGTATAAAAGAATATTATTGAAAGTCAATCACTTGTTCGCGCCACTAAATCCTCTTCCCTTTTCTATTTTTTCTTACCGGGTGGCAATAGAAATAAGAGGGAGAATAAAGGGAAGAGAACTGAAAAATGAGGGGATTTTACATGTAAAAAGGAAAAAAAATTAAATTTAAGGCCCCTTGGAAGGTAAGGCCCCCTTAAGGTCCCTTGGAAGTCTTAAAAGCAAGTAAATTAATTAAACTTCAAGGGGTGGAGAAAAACTATAAAAAATATTTCCTGGAAATCTCGCCTTAATCCATCCAATTTAAATAGAAAAATGCTTCAGGCATGTAATTCTTCTCTCTTAAATTTAGACAAAGTTTAAATTAAATTCCATCTCTAAATTTGTGCTTTTGCCCACTTTAAAATGCTCAGAGCCGGAGGCACCCTTGCAAGGTGTCTTGTCTGGTCGACTCATATTTCTCTATTTTTCCAGTGTTTTTTCAATTGTTTACATAGTGTATTTAATGAATTCTATGGAAATATGGGAAAAATGTAAATAAATGATTTATTATTAAAGTGCCAAGAATAAAAGGAAAATAAAGGTAATAAAATTACCCGAGTTATTTGATTATATAGGCGTTGACCGGAAGGAAATAGAGCGTTCCCCTGACCACAAAACAATTTTACTTATTTAAATAAAATGACTGGCATTTGAAGGAAAAATTTATTTAAATGGAAGACCACCAAAAAACTAATAAAAATTTGCACTTTTTAGAGCCAAAATTTAGTCAATACCTCAAGTAATTGTTATTTTTTAAAAAAGGTCGAGGATTATAGCAATAAAAGTAGAACCAAAATGGAGGAAAGATTCATAAAAAGAGGGGGAAGAAATTCACGTAAAATTGTTGGCAAAAGAGGGAGGCAGTAACAAACAGCAGGGGATTTTTAACTAGAAAGGGGAGAAAGGGAAGGACCGTTTTAAATTAAATTTAGAAAATTGCGTTGTTTTTACAAGGCAATGCGATTAAATTCTATCAATTTTATATAAAAGAAAAAGTTTAAAAAAGCTGTAATTGGAGAAAAGAAAAAAATTAGAGAAAAAACCTAGGTATTTTAAACAAAATATTCAAATTTTTCAAAAATTAGAAGAAGAAAATTTTGGATGATTTTCTCCTCTTAAGGTAATAAAAAACATCAAAATTCCCCTTTATTTAATCGGAAGTACCCAAGGTATTCATCAAAACAGGTTTTTTTATTTTTTAGAAATATTTGAAAAATTCTAAGGCGTCATTACACTTGCTTTTACAATTGTTGATTTGTTAGCTAATATTCTCCTCTCACGTACAATTTAATTTTTGAGTAACCCGCTTAACATCATCATCAACTCAAGCTACACTTGACTCTGCCAGAACACAATCCGCTGCTTCTCTTACCTCTCTTCCCCCTCCTGAAATTGTGAAATCAAGGCATAAGAATTAAGGTGGTACATACATTAAGATCCGGGATAAGATGGAGATTTTATTTAAAAATTATTTTATAATTCATTAAAAATTTTCTTTTTCAGGTGCCACTTTTAGTAAAAACATTTCTTCTACTTTCTTTTTTCTATTTCTGGGGTTGGTGCGAACAACTCCGATGTTTTGGTAGGAATTAATCTTTCACCGATTGAGCTGAATTTAACAGGAGGACCAATTACTTTAATTCTTGTGATTATTTTAATTGCTACACTATGCTTACTTAATCAAGTAATCGTAAGTTTATTGAACGTGTTTATTTAAAAGTTTCCTTAATTTTATTTACTACAGATATACTACGCTGAAAAAAAAAGGAAATCGACGTTGAAAAACAAATTGGTAGTGGTTTGAAGTAATTCATCCATTTCATTCTGAGGATCTCGATCTTCGCCTTCATTATCTTCCTGATTTTCACTAATGGTCTATAGGTTCCTCCTTATCATCTTCGTCATCAGATCTTGCAAGTTCACCTTCACCAACTTCACCAGCAGATTTTTGAAGTTCTTCCTCACCACTACCAATTTGTTTTTCAACGTCGATTTCCTTTTTTTTCAGCGTAGTATATCTGTAGTAAATAAAATTAAGAAAACTTTTAAATAAACACGTTCAATAAACTTACGATTACTTGATTAAGTAAGCATAGTGTAGCAATTAAAATAATCACAAGAATTAAAGTAATTGGTCCTCCTGTTAAATTCAGCTCAATCGGTGAAAGATTAATTCCTACCAAAACATCGGAGTTGTTCGCACCAACCCCAGAAATAGAAAAAAGAAAGTAGAAGAAATGTTTTTACTAAAAGTGGCACCTGAAAAAGAAAATTTTTAATGAATTATAAAATAATTTTTAAATAAAATCTCCATCTTATCCCGGATCTTAATGTATGTACCACCTTAATTCTTATGCCTTGATTTCACAATTTCAGGAGGGGGAAGAGAGGTAAGAGAAGCAGCGGATTGTGTTCTGGCAGAGTCAAGTGTAGCTTGAGTTGATGATGATGTTAAGCGGGTTACTCAAAAATTAAATTGTACGTGAGAGGAGAATATTAGCTAACAAATCAACAATTGTAAAAGCAAGTGTAATGACGCCTTCAAATTAGAATTGTACCCCGCCCCGCCCCCCCCCCCCCCCCCGTGGCGCTGCCTCCCCGAAAATTTTGGCCGTGGCCCTCCCCCCCGTCGGGGAACAACCCTACTTCAAATATTTAAAAAATTAAAAAAACCTGTTTGATAAATACTAAGAAAGAAAGTTATTTTCAAAAATGAAAAAATAATTTTGAACAAGTTTCTTCTCTTATGTAACATCAAGATTCGGAAATTCAATTAATGCAAGGTAATTTTCAATTTCGTTCCCCCCCTCTTTTTTTCCTTCCTCAAAGTATTACACAATGGTCAGTCAATCTTAAGTTATAGAACTCGTCGAGCTGTGTCGAATGACACCAAAATCGAAAAAATCGGACTTGATTGGACCGAAATACAGACCCCGGAAAATTGAACAACCACAGGGGCGAAAAACCAAAAGGACGAAAAAGTATACAAATGATAGCTCGTTCGAAAGAGCTCGTCGAGCTGAGTCGAATGACACTAAAATCGACGTGATCCGAAGTTGATTTGACAAAGATATGGCATAAATCATCGACTCCGGTAGGTCTAAATAATGTCGTAACTTTGCCAAATCTTGTCCAATTACGTTGATTTTGATGTCATTCGACTCAGCTCGAAGAGCTCTTTCGAATGAGCTACCATTTGCTTAAATTTTTTTAATTTCAAAAAATCGCCCCTGTGGTTGTTCAATTTTCCGGGGTCTGTATTTCGGTCCAATCAAGTCCGATTTTTTCGATTTTGGTGTCATTCGACACAGCTCGACAAGTTCTATAACTTAAGATTGACTGACCATTGTGTAATACTTTGAGGAAGGAAAAAAAGAGGGGGGGAACGAAATTGAAAATTACCTAATGCAATTGCTCACAAAAGGAAGAATGTAGGTATTTGGAAGGACCTAAATAAGGAAAATAAAAATATTTCGCCCAATTAAGCAATAAAATACCTCTATAAACATTTCCAATGATTTTTCAATTTCCTCTGAACAAGGTCGATCGTTCGGATTAGCAGACCAACACCTAATTAAAAAAGTAATTTTTTATCAAAGAAATTTAAAAAAACCTTTCAATCAATTCCATAAGTGGTTTAGGCAATTTATCAACTTTTGGCGGTCTAAGACCATCATTTGAAACCATCCACAAAATTGTAACGTGATTAGGTTCATTAATGTCGTCGAAAGGGTATTTACGTGTTGCCATCTCCCACATAGAAATTCCAAGAGAATAAATGTCAGATTTGTGGGTATAGCTTAAAAAAATTTTTTCAAAAAACCTTGTAAAGAAAAACCTTTCTCCTTGAAAAACCTCTGGTGCCATCCAAGCAGCAGAGCCTTTGTTGTCACATAAATTACTATTTTTATTAGCAACAGTTCCAAAATCACATAATTTTAATTTTTTGTAGTCTTTTGAGAGAAGCATGCTTTAAAAAAAATAATAAAAATAAAATAAAAAAAAGTTACTTTGCTGGTTTTATATCACAATGAATAAAGTTGTTTGAATGTAAATATGATAATGCTAAAATTTAATTGGAAATTAAAATTGAAACTTAAAAAGGGTTAAAAACCTTTAGATACTTGCAATGACCAATTCAGAACATGAAAAGTCTAAAAATAAAATTTTGAAGTAAAAAGGAAACATTGTTTACTGTCACCGCGACTTTGAACGACCATAAATCATTTAACAAAAAACAATATTGCTTTCGTGACAGGAAGTCGGGGTCCTCTATCAGATGGAACAAGAACAATATCAAAGTCACGGTGGCAGTAAACGATGTGCCCTTATAAAATTATTTTAAAAATACTTGAAAAGTGAGATCCATATGCAAATGCAACACTAAAAATATTTGAATTTATATATAGAAAATAATAAAAATATACATTCATCCAGTGATCCTCCTTCCATTAATTCAATCACAATACCAGAATATTCGCCACGAAAAAGTGCATAAAGGTTGACTATGTTTGGGTGACAAAAACTATGCAGATGTTTAGCCTCTACCAACAAATGAGAAAGATCGTTTGAATTATTTGCAAATTTAACTGCAACTTGACGACCCTAAATGGTTAAACTTAACCAGTCCTTAATATGTAAAAGTTAACAAACCCTAAAATTGCACTTATAAACTGTCCCATAAGAACCATGACCAAGTATTTGAATCTGACGAACATCAGGGAGTTTAACTTCGCTGTAATCAACTTCTTCCCAGCCATTTTCTTCTTGATAAACTTCAGGTGGAGCGTTGCTAGATTCTAAATCAATATTTACATACAAAGGCTCCATTTTACCCTAAAGCAAAAGACATGATTAAATCAAATGTTTTTAAAAATCTTTGGAATACATCCTTTATATAACAAAAGATAAACGATATAACAATTTAATTAACAAGAAGACATCATTTTATCATAAAGAATAGATAGCTTCAACAAATATTTAACGCTTTCGACGACCACCTCCTTTACGAGCTTCCTTCGGTTTCGGTGGCAGAATGACTCCATCGTACTAAAATTAAAAGACATTTGAGGTGAACAAAAACGAATTAAATTTTAAACCTTCTGTTGGAACCATTTAACAGATTCCTCCTTGGTAACGCGGTGAGAAGATCCAATACGTCCAATAGCACGACGGCGTTTAGCAACACGAGTTCCAGCACGCCCCAAGACAACGTAGAAATCCATTCCATAGATTCCAATTGATGGATCATATTTTATGCCCAAGTCGATATGTTCCTGGATACCAAACCCAAAGTTGCCAGTGTCCGAAAAATTTTCTCTATAAAGTTCAAATTCCTTGACCTAAAAAGTTTTTTCGGTTATAAAAGAAAAGAAATTGTTAAAAAACCTTCAAACCACGATCAATAATCTCCTCAGCTTTTGAGCCACGAACCGTGCAGTGAACAGCGATCTTTTCGTTTCGACGAATGCCAAAAGCTCGAACGGTATAACGGGCCTTGGAAAGAACGGGTGTTTGTCCAGTCAATTGCTCAAGAACCTAAACGAAAAGTACAAATTTCTTAAAAAAACTTAAAAAAAAACCTTAGCTGCACGAGTAAGTCTATCTCCCGACTCACCAACACAAATGTTTAAGCAAAGTTTTTGAATTTTCAATTCACGCATAGTATTATGCAACTTCTTCTCCCGGTTTTCGACAATCTGCTCAGCTTTAGTCATTGCAACAATAAATACTAATCTGATCTGAAACGTGAAATTAAAACAGTACAAAACTAGAAAAAAGAACAAAACTGGACGAAAGATACTGCGGCTTTTATAATGCGGCAAGTATGCGTCCACTTTGAAAGTTAGCAATTTGAAATTACAAAAATGTGATAGAACGTGTAAAAAGAAGAGTGTATAAAGAAAGAGAGAAGAAAATAGTAGGAAAAGCGAGAAATAGACTGAGACTCTAATTCCATGTTCCATATTCTGCAATTCCCTATTTTGCCAATATCGCTAAAAGCCGCTGTTTTGCCACACAAGACTTATTGGCAAAACGTGGTCTTTACCATCCTTGACAGAATATGTTTTGACTGAATATGCGAGAGATTTGTTTATCATAGATTATTGATTTTGCTGGACTTTCAGTCTGTGTTTTTTTTGTAACGTCACCATTTTAGGCTAGATTTTAATAAGTTTTCTACTTATAGATAAAGAAATCTCTTCATTATTTACATAAATCTGCTGAACGATGGGAGACATGAATGGCGAAAATGGTGAAGATAAAGGATCAAACCGTAAAGATAACGGCAAGGATCGGGATGTTTGCCGTGATTATTTGAACAATATTTGCAACAGAGTTATTTTTACATTTCTAATACACACATTTTTTTGATTTTCAGGGAAGCCGTTGCAAGTTTTACCATCCAGAAGAACATGACAACAAGGCACAAAATGCTGCCGATGAACCTTATCAGTTTTGTATTGACTTTCAGGTATACTTATTAATTTAAATTAAAATTTAAACGTTTTTAACATTTCGAATTTCTTGCTTGAGCGTATGGGCAAACGCATGTATTTGCGCGCTCAAATGTTCTATCGTTCTGTTCGATCAAGTTTTATAAAATTGTTTTTTGAAACAAAATTTGCGATTAATGATTATTTTCAGAACCAAGGCTGCAGCCGCGATAATTGTCGCTATGTTCATGCGTTTCGCGAAGATGTTGAGCGCTACAAGCGCACTGGCGATGTGACGCTTGGTCTTGCGCGTGCTTTAGCTGGTTTATTTATATAATTTTTTAAAAATTACTACTGATGGGTAAGTTTGATTTTTCAAGGGCGAAGGGCCTCACCTTTTTTCATGGGCGAATGTTAATCTAAGAAATCTCTCAACTTTGTTTACATCAGGGCTGAGCGGTTGTGCGTTTTTATATTTTCTGTTAGTCTTATTGCGCCTTACTTTTTTTAAATTTTATTTGTCGCCAGCCCTGATTCCACGTTCACTTTTTTACTTTGCGATACTAATTTTCATACATTTTAGTGCAATAATTTAATTTCAGCATTGATGCGTGGTGATACAATCAACTCAATTCCCCTTTGCAAGGAATTCCAAAATGGGCATTGCGCGCGAGGTGTTTTGTTGAAAATCAAAACGAAACATTTAATATAAATTAAGGCCCCCAATGCCGTTACTGGCATATAAACAAAGACGAAGAGCGGCGCAAACGCTTTCATGGACGACATGTTGGCGCGGCTTCTCCATTCGGCGCTTATACTGGGCATGCAGCAGGTTCTTTATTGGAATGAAAATTTATATTTTGGGATTAATTTACGATATCTTTTTATCTAAACTTTCTTTCTAAGGTACACTATAACTAAAGGTACCTCACAAGCTGTCACCAAAAATTTTTTACCCCTCCTAATTGAAAATTTAAGTCTTCAAGGTTCGGAATCGATTAATTTTTGCATCTTCACTAATTGATATGAATGATTTTTAAGCGACGCATTTGTCAAGGCGAATGCGCTTTTAAAATTTTTTAAATTAAACAAAAAATATTCTTTTATTTAGGCGTTCGACGCCGTGCTGATGATTATGGTTCATCATATGATGATTACATGCCTCCAGAGAAGAGAATTGCACCTTTTGTTCAGCCTCTACCAGTTCCTATGATTCCGGGAGGTCCAACTCGTCTGATGGTTGATTTAGAACGTCGAAATGCTGAACTGATTGCTGAGGTTTCCTTTATAAGTCTGAAACATTTATTGTTTCCTTTTAAAGGTTGATAGTTTGAAACGTGAATTACAACGTGAGAAGGAACGCTATGATGATTTGATGTCTCTTTTCCGTGCTACGCAAGCTAATCAAACTGCTTCGATTCAAACACGTCCTTCTGGAGCTTCTCAACCAGGCATTCCAAGTATGGGAGGACAACAGCAACAGCCTGGTGCAATGCAACAATGGGGAACAGGAGGTGGAGGAAAGGCTACACCAAATTATATGGGACCATTTGATTGGACTGCTAATTGAGTATTAAATTTAATTATTTTTGGATGAACGATTTTTAAAAATTATTTTTGGATCAGTAATTCTTTGGACAATTTGTGTCAGTTTTTTAAGTTAATATTTTTTTTCTAAATTTATCAAGAATACATGCTAGGATTTTTTTGGGTCTAAAAATATCTAAATTTTGAAATTTAATTTTTTCTAGAATCTACGTTATAATTAAAATCCTAGTATTAATTTTTTAATCATATGGTTTTGAGCATTTCCTCTTTTGAAAGTTTTTTGTCTTTTTTTAAATTTGGTAAATTAAACGATTTTGATTGATTAATTTTGATGACTCAATCTAGGGTGTAGAAAAAAAGCTTTTGCGATTGATTTAGGTAATTAAACTTGTTGATTTTTTGTGACTTTTTGCGTCTGTCACAAAGTTAATGGTGGCAGCTGTTTTATTTTTTTTAAGTTTTAAGATTTTAAGTTAAAACCCTTTAATAAGATCGTTCTCTTTTTTCCTCTCCCCACATTTCCTTAATTTTTTCCTTAAATTTAACCATCACATCTAAAGTTCCCCTTAAAAATGCGGAACCGGTACACTCAAATTTGGTCCATTTTATTCGCATTTTTCCTTTGCTTTGATCATTTTTCTGTTATTTGTAAACGTTCGGGAATATTTGGAAGGTTTGAGATCTAAATATTTTCTTGTATTAACCTTCATTGTTCAGTAGAGGAGGTTCTTCTCGAAATGGGCATGGTTATTCGTCAGGAATTGGGCGAAGCCGCTATCCTTCCTCACATACTAATTATGGGGGTTCTGGCCGGAGAAGTATAACAGATAGATTACTCGGCAGAAATAAAGGAGGGGGATATGGAGGTCATAGAAATCGTGGAGTTATGGCTGGAGCGGCTGGTGGTGGATTACTCGGCCATGGCACAAGGAAGAGTGGAGGATTCTTGGGTGGAGGCGGAAATAAGTTAATAAGGAGATCTATCGTTTGTTCTAAAAATTATTTAAAAGGTATCGAAGTAGCGGTATAGGGTCCCGATCCCGTGCAGGAACCTTCAAAAACATGCTAGTTGGTGCAGCTGGTGGATTTCTTGCTTACAAAGCAGGGAAAGCAATCATTAAAAATGTGGCACGACCTATGATGTGGAATAATCGGCCTTACTATTGGGGTAAGCACACGATTCAACCTGTAAAAAATTTTGATTCATTTTCAGGCTCTCAATACCATCCCTCCTATCAGGGTGGAGGGTATGGAGGTGGATATGGAGGCGGATATGGTGGAGGTGGTGGTGGATATGGGGCTGCTCCTTCCAAAACAATGTGCAGAATGGCAATTGAGCCTGATGATCCAGTTTTGGGACAAGTTTACATGTCAGACAATACAAGACCAAAGGAAATTGTTTGGACCTGTGAGATCCATGAGGTAGAATTGTGATAAGTATTATCCTTGAAATTCAGCTTTATTACAGGAATGTTGTGGATATGAATGCTGTCCTCGATATTAGAAGAATTTTTTTGATGTAAAATCGAATGAAAAAATATTTTTATTATTTGTGAGGGTTTACCAGAAAAATAGAAAACTTAAAGATAAACACCCCGGTTAGAAGACTTTTAGTAGACATTTTATGCAACTTTAATAAGGTCATGTTTTTACTCTCTGCGGAGCCATTATCTTTAAGGTTATTTTTTGTGGTATCAATTTCTTTTTTTATTAACACTTTTGTACTGTTGGCACTGATAACAATTTTAAATGGAATAAGGCGGTCGTTGTCCATCATAAAAAATATTAGTAAATAATTTTGGTCGACAAATTTATATATTTTTTAACCTTTTCTCCCTTATCTTTTTTTTAATTATATACATATTTTTATTTGATTAGAATAAATTGATTTGATGAAGAATTATTTTGTATCAGAAATACTTTTTTAAATTAGTACTTTAATATCTTTTTAAATTTGAAAATTTAAAATGCCCCTTTATTCAACTGGAAGTACCCAAGCTTGGTATTCACCTAAACAGGTTTTTTTAATTTTTTTAAAAGCTTTTTAAACACTTTTGAAGGCCTTGTGTATCGCTCTAACTTTTGCAATTGTTGATTTACTGGTTAACATTTTTGGATTGGCCTGGAATGGAAAATTTTTCACCTTTGATAATTTACAACACTGGTTCGATTTTAGCCATTACACATTTACTAACAACCCGATTGACTTTCTGGCTGTTGCAATTCTTCGAATTTGTATTCTTCTGGGTGGTGCTGCAGGAGTTTATTGTAACCCTAAAGGGGGTGCTGAAGCTTGTGCTACTCTTTCCAATGTAATTTTTTATTTTGAAAAATTTTTTGGGGCAGGAAAGACTTTGTTTTCGAGAAGGTTCAGCTTACACTTCACCCCTCCTCCTTCGAAATAGGTGTCGGTGACGCCTATAGTTTATTAAGAGAACCAGAAATCTAATAAATTAGCAGGGTTGTTGGTTAGGATCCGATCGAGGATTTTTCCGTGATTCATTCCGAGTATCCTAAGATTTCCCACGACCTGACAATAGTTTTATTATGGAATTCCTTGCCCTAGTAAAGGAAAAATAAAGTCATTCAAAATATACTATATTTATCCTTTCTCAGTTCACCTTTGCATTAGTCCTTGTTATTGTTGCCTTTTCTCCAATAAAATTGCTTGCTTTTTATGAACATGAGGACCTCAAATTTGCTGTTGGAGATTGGATTCTTATGGTATTATTTTCTCATTTCTTTTAAATAAAAGTAAATTTTAATAAAAAAGATTTGGTGCATTCTAGCAGCTTTATTTGTTCAAGCAATTTGGGTTAGCGTGTTTGCTCGTGTTCGGGAAGTAATTTTTGTTGGACGTCAAAGGCTATTTTCTAATGAAGACGAACAATATTTTTCTGAATTGCAAAGAAAAGAAAGTGAAGTTGCTGACCAAAAACGAGAAACTTTTGTGATGCTTTTCAGACTTCTTGGATATATGGCAAAGGAATGGCCATTTTACAGTGTTGCTTTTATCTTTTTGTTCTTTTACTCACTTTCTCGAGTTTTTGTGCCTTACTTTACTGGACAAGTGGTTTGTTTTTAAAATTATTTTGAAGGGTTTACTAGATTTTTTGTTTGTGGCGTAAAAAAGAGGACAGAAAGAGTTAGGTTTGCCAACGTGTAGGAATAAAAGCAGCCAGATTTCCTTCTTTTGAACTCGACATCGCTGCTTTTGACTATTTAACTTTAAAGATAAACTCCCTAATAACTCCCTAATATTTCCCTAATAAATTAAGGTTGGAGCTGTTTTTGGTGCTGAAGCTTCTTATGAACACCTCTTTAATTATGTCATTATTATGGGTAATTTAGTTGAAAATTTTATTTAAATTTAAAATAATTTAGCCTCGCTTTCACTATCTAGTTCTGTCTTTGCTGGTCTACGAGGAGGGTTTTTCACTTATTCTCAGGTTTCAATTTTTAATATTTATTTTTTTTCTAAATTTGTCTTATAATTTACAGGCTCGAATTGATAGAAGAATTCGCGGTGATCTTTTTAGTTCTTTTGTCAAACAAGAGGTCAGTTATTAAGTTAAATTCAAACGGGATCGGCAGTAAATGAGCCATAATACAAAATACCGAAAATACTAAACAACCAGAACTGTCAAAATACCAGACTGTGGAAAAATTCAAACTTATATTACAATCACGTAAAAGATTGTCAACTATCCACATCTCGGTATTTCGGTGTCTTTTGGGACGGCATTTGGTATTACGGCATCATCGGTTCTCCCAAAATAATTTTTAATATTTTATTTATTTGCAGATTGGATTTTTTGATGCTAACAAAACTGGTATAATTCATTTTTAAAATATTTTCCGTTAAAAGTCTTTTCTTCGTTACAGGAGAAATTTGTTCCCGAATAAATGCTGATTGTCAAACAATGTCAAATACATTGGCACTTTACATGAATGTTTTTTGTCGAAATATGACAATGCTTGTTGGCTCGCTTATTTTTATGTTTTTGCTTTCTTGGCGTCTTACAGTTGTCACATTTACTGCTGTTCCAATTATTTTTTTAATTTCAAAAGTTTTTGGTGTTTATTATGATGTAAGGGGAAGTTAAAGGTTTCAAAAATTTTTGTTTTTTAGCAAATAGCCGAAGAAAGTCAAAATAGTGTGGCAAAAGCAAATGATGTTGCAGAGGAAGTATTGAGTGCAATACGTACAGTAAAGAGTTTTGCTTGTGAACGTTTTGAATCTCTCCGTTTTCTCTCTTATTTGAATGTTACTCTAAGTATTGGTGCACGTAAAGCAACTGCTCATGTTGGATTTCTTCTTACTACAGAGGTTTTTCTAGAAATTTAAAATAATTTTTTAAATTTTCTTTTAAGTTTTTACAAATGGGAATTCTTACTATGGTGCTCTTTTATGGCGGTCATTTAGTAATTCAAGGAAAAATTGATTCTGGACTTTTGGTTTCATTTATGCTCTATCAATTCCAGTTGGGGGAAAATTTACGAGTAATTTTTTAAACTTTTTATGAAAATTGAATTAAATTTGAAGGAATTGGGTGAAGTTTGGAATGGATTGATGCAAGCAGTTGGCGCCTCGAGAAAAGGTTTTTGCTTATTTTATTAAAAATTTATTTTTTTCACCAGTTTTTGAATTAATTGACCGTCAACCTGAAGTCCTTAATGATGGACACGTTGCTCTTGACGATAGAATTGCTCGAATGGAAGGACGTATTGAATTTAGAAATGTCCATTTTCATTACCCGACACGGCCCAATGTCCCTGTACTTAAAGTTTGTTTACTTTTTTGTGTAAAATTCTTGGAAAAATATTTTTAGGGTCTTTCCTTCACAGTTGAGCCAGGCCAGATAGTGGCACTAGTAGGACCTAGTGGAGGTGGAAAAAGTTCGTGTATCGCTTTGCTTGAACATTTCTATGAGCCTGAATCTGGCGAGGTTCTTCTCGATGGTGTACCAGTGCGTGATTATGATCATAAATTTTTGCATACAAAAGTATCACTTGTTGGACAGGTTTTCTTGGAATAAATTTTTGAAAATAAATTCATACATTATTAGGAGCCGGTGCTCTATGCGCGTTCTGGTAAATTAATAAAATAAAAATAATTCATTTTTTTAAAGTTCGTGAAAATATTGCTTATGGAAGCAAAGCAACTTATGAAGAAGTACAACGAGCATCAAAACATGCAAATGCCCATGGATTTATTACGGAAGCACAAGAAGGTTTGGAGGAATAAAACTGACTTAATTGTTGATACATAAAAAGGTTATGAAACTGATGTTGGCGAAAAAGGAGGACAAATGTCTGGAGGACAAAAGCAGAGGATAGCCATTGCTCGTGCACTTGTAAGGGAACCAGTTGTTTTGCTACTCGATGAAGCGACATCAGCACTTGACTCAGAATCTGAACATTTGGTACAGGAGGCTATTCAACGAAATCTTAGGTTAAATTTGTTTTAATTTTTTTTAATCCTTGGAAATTTTTAGGGGCCGAACTGTGCTTTTAATCGCACATCGTCTAAGCACAGTAGAGAATGCTGACAAAATCGTTGTGATTAGCGGGTATATTTTAAAATATCTTTAGAAAATATAAAAATTTGTTTTTTAGAGGTCGAGTTGTGCAGGAAGGCGTACACAAAACCCTAATAGCAGAAGAGGGTCTGTACAAACAATTAGTACAGAGACAAATGCTCGGTTTACTTAATTTAATATTAAAATTCATAAGGTTTTTTAGGTGGCGAGTTGAGTGAGGACTTTACAGCTCCAAAACACACTCATGGTGGAAGAACTCCCCGTGCCCGGTCTGCTAGAAGAGTTCCACGTTCAACATCGCCAAGTCAGCAAAGTACCGTACAATCTTTTCTTGGTTCAAGTATGGCTAGTTCTTATCTTTAAATTTTGTCTTACTATTGAATGATGGCTCAGGTTTACTATTGAAATAATTTTTTAGTAATTTTTAAAGTATTTTTTAATTTTGTTATTTTTGGTTAAAAACATTAAATTTTTTCAAAATTCAAAAATTTTCAATTCATTCTTCAATTTTCACTGTGTAAAATCTGTTGAGTAAAAACTTTTATTGCAAATCATGAATATTTTTTAAACTTGTTTTTAGTAAACTTTTAAAGATAAACTTGTTTATATCAGGACTAGGTGAAAGAGTAGAAAAGAGTTGATCAGGACAAGCCTCGGTAAAAAATACATGTGAATATTTATACAAATTATGAAAAACAAAGCTCAAGTTAATTTATCAACGGATTTTTAAGAAATTCTTTTTTTTTCCGAACATCCTCGTTTTCAAGTCTATTTTGAAGGAACTTAGCAGATTGAGAATTTGAAAAAATTTGGAGGAGAATTAGAAGATACAAAGAATTAACTAATTAGATAATAGGTTTGTAGTTGTTGTTGTTCTTGAAGCCGATCGCCGAGAAGAAGAAGAACCAAGCTTCATCAATTTTTCTCCTTACCTCCCTTCTTCCTAACGTTTCTAACCTCCTAACGTTTCTTCCTAACCTCCTAACGTTTAATTTTTAATTTTATTAAAGCAACAACCAGATCAACACAAACAGCATCAACCTCATCTGCATCAACACAGCCAACCATTGATTCTGAAACTTCAACAACTTAATTTCGCTCATTGCCTCCGCATAAAATTGACATCAGGATGGCAAGTATTTGCCAGGGCAAATATTGCCAGGGCAATACTTGCCGGGGCAAGTATTTGCCATCCTGATGTCAATGGTTGGCTGTGTTGATGCAGATGAGGTTGATGCTGTTCGTGTTGATCTGGTTGTTGCTTTAATAAAATTAAAAATTAAACGTTAGGAGGGAACGTAGAATAGGAGAGGGGAAACATTTTTAAATGTTTTATTTTTTATTTTAAGTTTTTTAGCGCCATAAAAAATTTCTGATAATTTCGGAAAGCCGTTGTATAAAGTTTTTAATTTAACGAAAAAATTGCGATATTTTTTCAAAGATATTGGCGGTTAGAAAATCGCCGTTAGAACAGTAAAAAGTTTTGAATAGTTACGTGTTTGTGTTGAAGATGTAGGCCCGCGAGAAGAATTCGAATTTGAACGTCTAGATGATGAAGAAGGATTTATTGTTGTTGGTGTTTTGGCAGTTAAAGGTTGATTAAAATTGATAGTAGATGAAGAAGGGAGGTAAGGAGAAAAATTGATGAAGCTTGGTTCTTCTTCTTCTCGGCGATCGGCTTCAAGAACAACAACAACTACAAACCTATTATCTAATTAGTTAATTCTTTGTATCTTCTAATTCTCCTCCAAATTTTTTCAAATTCTCAATCTGCTAAGTTCCTTCAAAATAGACTTGAAAACGAGGATGTTCGGAAAAAAAAAGAATTTCTTAAAAATCCGTTGATAAATTAACTTGAGCTTTGTTTTTCATAATTTGTATAAATATTCACATGTATTTTTTACCCCCCCCCTAACCCCTCCCCCCTGGCTACGGGCCTGTGATTAACTCTTTCCTACTCTTTCACCTAGTTCAACAAAATTCAACAAAAAATTTTAAACTAACACAAAATTTTCAATTTCCTCTTCAGGTTTCATTGTAAAAATCCTCCTCTTTGATCACTCCATTGTCCTCTTGGTTGAGTTTGAGGCATAAATGTTGCAGGCATATAAGGATGAAAATGATATTGATACTGATTAAATGGTGGAGTGTTGTAGATAGGGCCATAAGAACACTTAATTTATTTTTTAATTTTCAACTTTTAAAAAATTCTAGTTACTTGTTGCTGCCATTGTCCATTTGGAGGCCCTGAGTGTTCATTGTGTTCTGACATGCGTTGACGCCCACCACCTTTTTTCCCTCCATGTCTATGTTGACGAGAATTGTGCTAAAAGTTGAAAGATTATATATTTTTGAATTTCCAGGAAATACCTGAAATTGACCACCATTTCGAAATCCTCGACCATCAGAATTTCTGCTGCGGTTTTGCCATCTTGGTCGATCTTAAAAATATCTCAAATTAGAATTTTTTAAATTTAATAAACCTTTAACCACAACCGTCCTTTCACGTTCAGCATTAAGCAAAGCCTGTTCTACTTCACCCACCATAGGAAATTCAAACTCGCCAAATTCATTTTCTCGTCGTAAAAGGACCACAAAACAAGGATGTCCAACAACCTGCCAAGGGAAGATACATAATTTTAAAAAATCAGGGGTTCCTTACATAACGATTGCGCAAATTTTCCAAAATAGTTTGTTGTGGATTAACGGGATAATATCTTTAAAAAAAGTATTTCAGTGTCTAGTCATTTTAATTAATACCTCAATTCTGCTTCACTTTGACAATCATTTTCACTTGTAACTTCGTCTTCTTCCTTTCCAAGGGGTAATGCAACCTCAGAGTAAACGGTCAGCTGATCTCTCACACATTCCTTGTCTAAATCATTTGCAGGGTCGATAATTGATTTTGATGCGCTTTAAATTTAATTTTTATTTTAAAGAAAAAAACATTTAAAAATACGTAGTAAATTGTTGCAGAAAATCCATGTCAAGCTCTGATTTAGATATGACTGTCCCATAAAGTTTTGGTCTAAGAAATTGTCGCAAGAGAGTAGAAACACGGATTGATTCGGGAATGTTTTGAACCTTTAGAAAAGTATTTTTATTTAAAAAAATCTTTTCAGAAAAGAAGGAAAAATAAAAATACCAACAGTGTAAGAAAGCCATTTTAACGGAGGAAGTGGGTCCTGATATGAATTGACATCTTCAATCATTTTTTCTTCGTCACGTTCGTCATTGCCATTGTCAGAAAAAATTTTTTCTTCAGTTTTCAATTCAGTTTCAATTTCTCCTTCCTCTTTTTCAATTTTTTCTTCTTTAACATCAACAATATTGTCAGAAATCTTCAATTCTTCGCCATCTTCAATTTCATAATCAACAAGTGGTTTGGCCAAATGCGTAATAACAGATGAAGAAGCTTGATCATCAAAAGTCTCATCCTCTTGAAAACTTTCCTCATTTTTAATCGAAGATTCGTTCATTTCTTCGGTCTTTTCAACTGGCGCTCGATATGCAAACTTGACAGTACATTTCCAAAAAATTGTATCAGAAAATTGTTCAATACGAGAAGAACCAAAATCTTTAAAAAATTGTTTTGAGGATAATTAAAATTAATTTAATAAACCTTTTGAATCATTCGATGGTAACAGCCAAATACGTCGAAACTGAGCACTTTTGAGTAAGGATTGGTCATTATAAGAAAGTTTTGGCTTTTGGTTATCATTCGAATTTTGTGTATTGAGTGAGGTATTCTCTACTAAAAATGAAGTGATAAAAATATTTATTAAATGAAAAGAAAATCTCATTTTTCATTAAAATCCCAAAAACTATGGAGACCTACTTACAGAAACTAATCCACCGATTTATTTCCTAACAATAAGCCCTTAAATTTCCATCAACTTATCTTTCATTTTTGAGGATTTACCAGTATAAAACTAGTTATCCCCCAAACCAATAAATACCAACGATTCCTTATATTTTAAATTTATTTTATCTGAAAGTCATGCATTTATCAAACATAAATTGAATTAGGAATTAAGTTAAATTTGCAAACTTTTTTCTGTTTTGGGCAAGCATTCTGTCTCGTCTGAATTATTTTTTCGTTGTTTAATTTGATGTAAGAATTGCTGATCTTCAATGCTTGTATCCTCCTTGAAGTTTGAGTAACCTCGAATTTTCTTCCAATTTTGTTTGCCATCGAGTAAAATATTTGAGCGAGGACGTTGACCATCACACTAAAAAATTTTTTCGAATAATTTCTAAAATTTAAACGAACATTGTTTTTCTCTTTATGCGTTTTTGAACATTTTGCTGAACACGTTCTTATTAAACATTTTGGGCATTTATAAAGAGCTGTAGATTCACAAATTGCACAACTGTGTAAATTTTCCGTTTGTGGTTCGATTAATTTTGGAGTGAATGGTTTGAGTAATAAAATATTGTTGTCAACATCTGTTGCCATATTGAATTTGAAAACTAAAAATCAAAAGAAATTTGGGTTAAGGAAATTAAGGAAACCAGGAAAATGTTTGTGGTTCGATTAATTTTGGAGTGATCTAAAACGGTCTAAAACGAAGAATGACCGAAATTGACGAAATATGAAATTAAAAAAATTTTCGCTTTTATAGGATTACTTTTTCTATCAGTTACCAATTTAAAGTTACCATATTAACATTATTTCTTTTAAAATGTCAAATTGGTAAAAATCTTAATATAAAAGACAAAAAGGTTCTATAAAACGTGTTTTTCTAATTTTTTTATGTTTTGTAAAAATTTTTTGAAAATTCTAAATTTTTCAGTTATGGAAGATATTAAAAGTACTCTTTACGCCGTTCTAGGCAAAAGAAAGCTTGGACAGCCCAAATATACTTTTAGTCAAGGCAGTAAAGGACGTCAACGATTTTTATGTCAGGTTATGGTTGATGGAATAAGTTATGGTATAACTCTAATATTTTCTCGAAGTTTTTAATTCTTTTCAGTTGGATTCGGAAACTCAACCTCAAAGAAAGATGCACAATCAAACGCCGCCAGAGATTTTGGACAATTCTTAGTTCGTGAAGGGTTGGTAACTGCTCAAGAGCTTCCTCAACTGCAAGTTCAGGTTTCCTTTACCTACTTTACTTACTTCATTTGGTCTGTTTAGCCGTCAGATTTAGAAGCTACTAATCCGCAATATCAAATAGACGTGAAAGAAGGAACTTCTGCTCCCTTACCTCATCATGTTGATTTTACAAATGATGATATGCTGACAGGAAAACCAGATTTTCAACGCCCCAAAACTTTCCATGATCAATATATCGAGCAAAAAGCCGAAGAAATTTCTCAGGTTTTTTCAAACATTTTGCTATACTATGTTTTCATTTAGTCCGAGTCCGTTGATATGACCTCTGAAATACACGGAGGATGGACGATGGACAATTGTAAGCAAGCCCTCAACGAATTCTGCCAAAAGAACCGTTTTCTTCCACGTGAATACAAAACGAGTAGAGACGGAACAAATAATAGCAGGTTTATTTGATTGTGCGACTACAGTTTAAAACAACAAAATTCTCATCGCATTTGATCTAAATGTGCATTTTTATTATTTTTAAATTCATTTTGTTTACTTATTTTTCTTGATGCACATTGGATCAAATGCATATTATGCTCGTTTACTAAAGAGTCCAATCCACGTTGTTATGCGACCAATCTTTGTTCAACTGTGTTAACCATTTAAAGATCTTGCCTTTATGGCTGGATCGTAATTCGAGACAATTTTATATTGCGGTTGAACAAAATGAATGGTCATTTTTCATTGATAAGTAAACACCAAAATTAACAATCAATTTATTTTCAGCACATTTGTTGCAGAAAATGAGCTTTTTCTACCTCGATTGAATCGAAGTATTTTTTTAATTATTATTAAATTTTTTAATTAAATAGCTATCTATGGACGTGGTCAAGGATCTACAAAGAAAATTGCAGAAACTACTTGTGCATTATCAATTGTTCGTCAACTATTTCATATTGGTCTGTTTGTTTTTTTAAAATTGCATAATTTAATTTATATTAGGTGCCATACCTTCATCTTCTGATAAATTATCTCCAACTAAAAACCGCAAAGCTGATAATGTTTTTAACCCAAATCTAGTACTTTCTAACTAAATATTTGTATTTTTTAGTTGGCAGAAATCAAAGTTCATGTTGATCCAGGATTGGTTGCTCGTATCGAAAAATATTTAGGCGATGTTGGAGTAGAACCCGTTGTTGATGGATTAGAACAAACAACTCCAGATGCTCCAAAATCGTTGTTAGTCGATAAAAAATTGGATGAATTTCCTCCATCAGAAGATAACTACTCTAATGCAAGCATTATGTGGGCACCTCCCTGTCAAAATTGGAATCCTTGGAAGTTTGTTTTTTATTTTAAAATTTGTTTATTTATTTTATTAGAGCTTCAAACATTGATAATCAACCAATTGCTTTTTGGTCAATGGAACGTATTAGTGATGATTTAATGATGAGAGAAAAGGCTAAACAAGTCCCTCAACAATTAGTTCAGGCGCGGCAGAGGCTTCCAGTCTTTAATGTAAGGATTTTTTACAAAAAAATTTTCATGTGAAACTTGTTTTTTAGCATCGTGAACAAATAATTCGTGCAGTAAATGAGCATCCAGTTGTTTTGATTAAAGGATCGACTGGTTGTGGAAAGTCAACTCAGGTTTTTTACATACACTTAAGATGCGTTTAACCAAATTTTTAGATTTGCCAATATCTACTTGAGAGTCATTTACTCGATAAAAGAGGAGCTAATTTCAATTGTTATGTAACTCAACCTCGTAGAATTTCTGCTATTACATTGGCTGAACGTGTTGCAAATGAACGATGTGAACAATTGGGTGAATCTATTGGTTATTCTGTTCGTTTTGAGGGAATAACACCAAGACAATATGGTGCAATAATGTAAAATATAAATTTATTTTTTATTTAAAAATGTCTTTATAGGTTTGTTACTGTTGGTGTACTTATGAGAAAAATGGAAATGGGTTTAAGAGGAATTTCTCATGTTATAGTCGATGAAATTCATGAACGTGATATTAATACGGATTTTTTATTGATTGTTGTTAGAGACATGCTTCGTGCAAATCCAAAGCTTCGTGTTTTGTTAATGTCTGCAACAATTGATGTATGTTTTAAATTAGTTATAATTTAAGAAACAATTTTTTAATTTTAGACATCACTTTTTACCAACTATTTTGGACGTTGTCCAATTATTGAAATTGAACAAAGAGTTCATCCAGTTCGTGGATTCTTTCTTGAAGATGTTATTTCAATGTTAAAATATATGCCACAACTTCCTGAACCTGATAAAAAGAAGAAAAAGAAGAGATCTGGAAAGCCGGAACCTTCAACTTCAAATGCTGATGTTGATGAAGAATGTGATGAAATGTCAATGAGTGTAACAGATAATTTACTTGTTTGTACTGATGATTATCCACCTGAAACTAAACAAGCGCTTGGTAGAATTACTGAAAGAGAAATTCCAATCGAATTAATAGAGGTTTGCTAAAGCGAAATTTATTTTTAAAATTTTAATTTTAAGCAATTGCTTTCTGATATTGATCAAAATGGAAAGCCTGGATCTGTTTTAATTTTCCTTCCTGGTTTATTTTTCTATATTTTTAAGGAAAAATTATTTTTTCTAAAGGTTGGCAAATGATTTCCCTGCTTTGGAATCGTTTAATGCTCCATAGAATTTTTAGCAATTCACGTCGTTTTGTTATTCTTCCACTACATTCACAACTTTCTGCTAGAGAACAGCATCGTGTATTTGAACCAGTTGGTATTGAACAACGAAAAATTATTCTTTCTACAAATATTGCGGAAACATCTGTTACAATTGATGATGTTGTTTATGTTATTGATTCTTGCCGGTTTTCTCTTTTAGGTTATTATTTTTTATTCTTTTTTTTAATTCAGTGTTCGTGAAAAAATGTATTCATCGAGAAACAATATGGTTCATTTTGCAAATGTTTGGGTAATAAAATTTTTTAGATTTTCATTATTCTTTTTTAAATCTCCAGGCTTCTCGAACTAATTTGATTCAAAGACGTGGAAGAGCAGGACGTGTGCAAGAAGGCTTTTGCTTCCATTTGGTTACTCGTGCTCGTTTTGATGCCTTAGAAGATCATAGAACTGCTGAAATGTTACGAACTCCTCTTCATGAAATAACTTTAACAATTAAACTTTTACATCTTGGTTCAGTTGGCGAATTTTTGGAAAAAGCTGTCCAACCACCTCCGATTGATGCTGTTGTAGAAGCTGAGGTTAATTCAGATTTATTGAAAAATTTACGTTTTTAAAGGTTTTACTTCGTGAAATGAATGCATTAGATAAGGATTTGGAATTAACGGATCTTGGACGTATTCTTGCTCGTTTACCAATTGAACCAAAGCTTGGAAAAATGGTTTTGTTAGGTGCTGCTATGGGTGTTGGTAATTTAATGTTGACTTCAGGTTGTTGGTTCAATGTTTTTTTATTAATTATTTGTTATTATAGCTGCTGCCACAAGTTTTAACACTCCTTTTGTTCCAAAAGAACGAATGCACACGAAATTGGCACACAGTCATCGTTCTTTTTCTGGTAATCGCCCATCAGATCACATTGGACTTGTTAATGTTAATCAACAATTTTCTGAACAATTTGATATCGATGTTTCGTCTGCAGAAGATTTATGCCGTCGTTTTTCCTTGAGTTATCCTTTACTTTGTATGACTCGTGAAGCAAAACGGTTTTTTCTTTAATTATTTTAAATCGAAACTTTTATTTTTAGCCAACTTTATGATGTTCTCGTTAATCATTCTGGATTTCCTGAATCAGTTTTCAGTTCTTATTCAATCGATGTACGTGGACCAGATTCAAATTTGGATGTTTTTCTTTCAATGTTGGTTGCTGCATATTATCCAAATGTTTGTTATTTGAGGTTAAGTTTAATTTTTTAAATTTATTAAAATAATTTTTATTTAGAGATCGACGCCGTGTTTACACTTTAGAGCAAGCAGTTGCACTTCTCAGCAATATGTCCGTTTGTGTGCCGTTCAATCGTGGAGAGCAAGCGAATTTTGCATCACCACTTTTTATGTTTAGCGAAAAGGTAATTAATTTATTTAAATTCAGTAAAGCGGTCGACCCTTCCTGACAACTGTCCTGAACATGATTTTTTATCCAGTCAACTAGTATCCCACCACCGACTTCTTTTCCTTTTCACAGCCATTTAGTCCTTCATCAGTCGTTTCTTTATTAAACAGTCATTCTGGCCCTCCTCCTTAAAATGTTCAGGTAAAACAAACTAGTGAAAATTGTGAAATACCCCGTCAATCATTTGTCGACGAATTTGCTGCACTTTCATTACAATTCCAGCTAAGAACAAATTGTATTTCTTGCAAACAAGTATCAATGATTTCTCCGTTGCAATTATTGCTTTTTGGCTCTAGAAAGGTCGAAGCGATTGGTGCTGATAAAGTTCGATTGGACAATATGTAAATTTTTATTTAAAATAAAATTTATATTTTTTATAAAAATTTTTTAGGATTCCTTTAAATTTATCAGCAAAAATGGCTGCAAAAATTGTTGCACTACGTCCTTGTATAGAAGCGTTAGTAGTTCGTTCCTGCATGCATCCTGAGCAACTTTCTGATCAACCTAAACAAGTTTTATTAAATTTATTAACTTTGTTTTTTGATTTCTATTTTCTAAATAGGATAAAATCCTTACTGCCTTAATTCGTGAACTTTCTTCTGATAGAGCTTGGATTCCAAGTGGTGAGGAAGGACTTGAACCTGTCGAACAATCTTCCTCATCAAAGGCAAATGCACATCAATTTAATGTGAATGAACAAAGATCTTATGCTACTCCACTAAACCAAACGTTTATTTAAAATTAATTTTTTAGCTTCGAAATTTTTTAAAAATTTAGATTGAATTTATCATCTTCTGCTCCTGTTCCTCTTCGTTCATTAAAACGCCCTTATGGATCTCCGCCATCTATTGTTGACGTGTATGGCAATCAACCATCACCTTTGACACGTTTTTTTTATTGTTTGTTAATGTTTAACCTGGTTTTTTCAGAGCCTAATAGTCTTGGACAAGAGGCGGTTGCGGCTGCTACTGGATTGGCATCATCAGCAGATTTCGGTGGTCGAAGAACACCATATACGGCAAATGCTCCTTCTGGTGGGGATTACAGCTCAATGGCCGGCTACGGGTGCGACTATGGGTTAATTTATTGAATTTTTCCTAATAGTTATATCAGAGAAAAATTATGAGTAGTTTTTTAGTAAAAATTTAATTTCTAGGCCAAGTCCCTATTATGGAAACCCTCAAAATCAACAAAATCAGTTGCCACAAGGATTACAACAATTCAATGGTATGAACGGGAGAGGAATGAGAGGATTTGGTGTTCGAGGAAGAGGACATGGTGGGGGTGGTGGTGGTCGACGTCATGGGGGCTTTCGAAGAAGGCGAGGCAATTGATTGATTTAAATAATTTTTGTTAAATTAGCGATTTATTCGTTATTTATTATGAAAAAATTTTTCTCAAAATTATTATTTTATAAATGACTTTTTTCATATGTTTTGACAGCAAGTTATTGATTACTAATGGAATGTTTTCCATTTTTATCTATAGTTTTTTTTGTTTTTTACATTCATGTTTAGGTGAAAGATGATTCATTCTCCTTCACTTAATATTTTTATCAATTCAAGTTTCTTTCGACCTCGAAACATTATTGAAGGCATCACAAAACTTCAACATAACTTCCTATCAGCGATGCATCAAGAACCACCTTCTTTGAAAGAAATCAACATTTTGAAGGATAGTGTGAATCCAAATGTTTTCAATGTCCAGCTTAATCGTGCAGAGAAGCGGAATACTTTTACTGACAGTTTTTGGAGGTTTTATTTTATTAATAGCTTTTTAAAGTTGTAATTTTGAGGGAATTAAAAACAGCTTTTTCCTATTTGTCGGAAGAGCCAACATGTAGATCTATTGTTTTATCTGCAAATGGACCAGTTTTCTGTGCTGGTATTGATCTAAAAGAAGGAATAGTGGTTTGTTTAATTTAAATATCAATGCCAATTAGTAATTTATATTCAAGGACACTTCAAAAATAATGTTAAACGAGGAATTGGATGTTGCAAGAAAATCTCGTCTTATAAGAGAATTGATTAAGCGCTATCAAGAAAGTTTTTCATCTTTAGAGGAATGTCCAAAACCAGTATGTTTTTTAATTTCTTTTGAATAAAAATTATATTTTTGGGTAATTGCTGCAATTCATTCATATTGTATTGGTGCTGGAATTAATTTGGTTGCATGTGCAGATGTGCGTTATTCCTCTAATGATGCAATTTTTTCTATTAGAGTAAATTTGATTCTTTAATAAAAATAAATTTTAATTTAAGGAAGTTGATATTGGAATAGCAGCAGATGTTGGAATATTACAACGAATTCATAGAATTGTAGGAAATGATAGTTGGTCGAGAGAAATGGCTTTTACTGGAAGGGATGCGAGTGCAGATGAAGCGATGAGAATGGGTTTTTATAAAATTTTATTTTCTTAGAATTTTTCCTTAAAGGTTTTATATCTCGTACATTTGACACAAAAGAAGATTGTTATGAGGCTGCAATGAGTTTAGCTAGACAAATTGCTTCAAAAAGTCCTGTTGCTGTTCAAGGTACAAAATTGGCAATGAACTACGCTAGGTCTCATGGCATTGAGGTTTCTTTACATAAAGTTTTTTGATGAATTCTATTTTGACATTTTAAAGGATTCTTCTGAATGGATTAGAAATTGGAATGCATCAATGCTTCAAACTATGGATATAAGTGAGAATGTTAAAGCAAAATTGTCAAAAACAAGTGATAACCCTGTATTTAAAGATTTTTAAATAATTTTAAAATTTTTTTGTAGACTAGGACATATGTAACTTTTTTTTAATTTTTTAGGAAATAAAAATATTTTCTCACGTATTTTTTTTGTAATTACAATTAAATATTTTGAATACTTTAATTAAAAATAATTCTTAATTAAAAATAATTTTACTTCTAATTTAGATAATTTATTTTCAATCTTTCAAACATTAAAAATTTAGCAAAATGCTCAATACCGGGTAAATATTTTAAATATTCTTTTAACTAAAACACAATTTTAAACAGAAAATTCCTCGGTAAAACAATTTTGATAACTGGCGCTTCACGTGGAATTGGCAAAGAAATTGCATTAAAATTAGCAAAAGATGGAGCAAATATTGTGATTTGTGCAAAAACGGCTCAAGAACATGCAAAACTTTCTGGAACAATTTACAGTGCAGCAGAGGAAATTAAAAAGGTTTTCTAGTCTATTGGTATAGGTAAATAAATTGAATTTTAGATTGGAGGAAAGGCATTGCCTATTCAAGTAGATGTACGAGAGGAGGCACAGGTTCAGGATGCTATTGAAAAAGCGGTATATTAAAGGGTTTTCTGCAAAGAAATCTTTGTTATTTCAAAGGTTCGTGAATTTGGAGGTATCGATATTTTGGTTAACAATGCTAGTGCTATTTCATTGACTGGAACACTTGATACACCTATGAAAAAATATGACCTTATGCATCAGGTCAATATACGAGGAACGTTTCTTGTGTAAGCTTTTTTGATTATTTATATTGAATTAAAAATAGTATTAAAAAGAACCGATTTTGTGGCGTCGGTGGTTCAGTCTTTGATAATTATTTAAATATTTTTTAAGGTCTCAAAAGTGTGTGCCTTACTTAAAACAAGCAAAAAACCCTCATATTCTTAATTTGAGTCCACCGCTTGATTTGAATCCTATGTGGTTTAGCAGACATTGCGGTTAGATTTTTAGTTTGAAATGGATTTTTGAATTTTTTAAGCTTATACAATGTCAAAGTACGGAATGTCAATGTGTGTTTTGGGAATGCATGAAGAATTTCGGAAAGATAATATTGCTGTTAACGCTATTTGGCCTCGAACTGCCATCTGGACTGCTGCATTAGATATGCTTACAGAAGGAAAAGGAAAACAAATGAGCAGAAAGGTTCTTTAAAAATTTTTTATAAATAAACTTTTAAATTCATTAAGCCAACAATTATGGCCGATGCAGCATATATTATTTTGAGCAGAAATTCAAGAGACTTTACTGGCAATTTTTGTCTTGATGAAGATGTGTTAAAAGAAGAAGGAATCGCTGACTTTTCACAATATTCCTATGTACCAAGTATTAAACTTTTAATTAAGAATATTTTTCCATCTTTTTTATTAAGAAGCTGAACTGCTTCCTGATTTTTTTGTACCCGGAGCTGAGTTTCAAGCTTATCTTCCATGGAAGAAAATGTTTGAAAAGAGCAAGATTTAAACGTTATTTTAAAAATTTGGCCTATAAAACTAAATATTAAGCAGAAAAGTATTTTGTAAATTTTTTAAAGAATTTAATATGTAGATAAAAAGTAATTGGCAAATTCATTTTCTAAATTCATTTGGAATTCTTTTCTAGATTCATTTTTAATCTTGAAATATTTTTTGTTTAAAGGGAATTTTAATTAAATTTTACAGAATTTAATAATAATTTGAGAAATTCAGAGAGGTACAATGGTATCAACAGATAAACTACGAAAAAATAGTAGTCAAAGTTATGAGAACGGGGTATTAATTTTCTAATTCTTTTTTAAAAATATTATTTTTTAACAGCATATTTTTGAACGCGATAGGCAGTTGATGGATAGCTTTATTTATACAATTTTGATGTTTAGGCAATGTATTATGGTTTGTTTTTATTAAATTTTTAGTTTATATTTTAATTTATTAGTTGGAAGACTTTTTCGAATTGTTGATGGCTCTTTGTGGACAAAAATGCGCAAAACTTTTTTCTTCGCATGAACAGCTTCTTGAATTTGTAAAAGAAAGGTGTAAAACAAGAGTAAAAATTGAGGAAAAGGGAAGTCGGGTATGCTTATTTCTTTAGAAAATTTTAGTATTCAATTCAAAGGTATTTTTGTCTTGGGCTGAACCTAATGATGTATCGAAAAGACTGCATGATCAATTAGTCATAATTGGAAAGCGAGTTTGCTCGGAAAGTGCACCCCAAAAAGGATGATAGAAAAAAAATAAAAAATTTTTTAAAAATGGTCCTTAATTAAATTAATTTATAATTGATTTCCATTCTTGCCTTTTTCACAATTTTTGTCCAAGTGCCCCTGACTCTATTGTCCTTTAAGCGATTGGTTTCATTTTGCCATAAATCATTTTACCAAGAACTACAAAACTGTTAAATTACCGTAAGGTGGTCTGATCAGAACTTTTGTTATTTGTTTCCGTCAATTCTTAATTAATTACAAGTTTAAAATTTAGATTAAATTTTGATTGAAGAATTATGGGCATTCTACGCAACAAAGAAAAGCTTTATGAACCAATTCGAATTGAGGATATAACTGATGATGTTGGCGAGGATTATGCCAAGTTTGTTTTTGTTTATTTTCCATTTAACAAAAATATTTTAGTTACATTCTTGAATCTGATTTTTCTGACGATAATGAGCAAGCTACTAAAGAGGGTACTAAAAGTTTTCCTTGTAAGAAGACTCGACGTTATCGTCCACGCAAATGTGTTGAGATGGTTGATGGCCTAGCTCCAAAACGTAATATGAGTGGTCATAAATGGAGGCGAATAGAGAATGGTTTTTTGTTTTTTTTTTTAAATTTTACTTTTTAAATTAGCTCGAATGATTATGAACTATGCGGATTTGGATGATATTTATTTTGATGGTTCTGATTTGATTGATGAAACAATTACTGCTTTTACTCGTCTTTTGCGTGATGAATCGAAAATGAAGGTTTTTGTTTAATTTAGATTTTTATGAAATTATTTAGCTTTGGAATGATTTTATTGAAATGGACGAAAAAGGCCAGGAAAAGATGATTGAAAAAATTGAAAAAGAATTGTCTCAAACTAAGGCTTCTGAAAAGCCTTGTTCATCGAAGAAAGCCACTCAAGGACACAAACGTTTGGAACATTAACTGAATATTCTATCTAAAAATTTATTTTCAGAAAATTCAATTAATTTTGCTGAAGAATGTTTCAAACGTCTTGATAGAAAAATTAGAAATTGTTTACTCAATCGACGCTCCATTCGATTTGTTTGTTTTTAAATTTTTTAAAATTTTATTTTTTTTACTTTGAAGGATTATTTGTCTCAAATCGAGACTGATCTTCGTGCTTTCTTTGAACATTGTTCAACTGGTGTCTTTTGTGAACAAATTGCTTGTCGAATAAAGCGTTTCTATATGCATGCTGTTTCTCAATTTCTTCGTTTAAAATCCCAAAGTAAAAAAATTTTTTTTATTTATCATTAGTTTTCCTTTTATATTTTAGCGCTCAATAATGCTGATTCTAAAAATGTTGTTCAAGTGGAGAATGATAAAAATGAATTTTCACCTCCTGAAGTGTTTCTTTTGGCTATTCTCAAACGGAAGAGACAAAAAGGAAGGAAGGGAAGTGATGATTGGGTTGAAGATGATGAAGTTCAATATTCTGATTGGACAATAGTTCGTTAGATTTTTCTAGGGTTTTTAGGCTGATTATGTTTGTATATTGTCCTTATTCTCCTTCTCTTTTGCTAAATGATGGTTTTTAATATTCACTAATTTAATTTTAAGTAAACTGAATTTAACTTTATCCCTTAATATTGCTGTAGTCTTCTGATATTATTTTTTATCTATTTGTAAGATAATTCTGATAAATTAAAAAATAATTTTAAAATGTTTCTCTGTTTTTCGAATTGGAGTCGATATTAATTTTGTTTCTTTTTTTAATCTCATTATTTTTTAATTTTTAAGAAAATATGGATTTAGCTGAAGCTATTAGTGGCGACGAGGAAGGAGAAGAAGTTCAAAAATCTATTGATCGTGATCATGAGGAGGAAGAGGAAGCTGAAAAGTCTATCGGTAGTGTTGAGGAAGAACTTCAAAAATCTGCTGGTGAGGTTGTTGAAGGTGAACTTGCAAAATCTGGTGGCGAAGATGATAATGAGGAACCTATAGATACTATTAGTGAAAATGAAGAAGAGAATGAAGGTGAAGATCAGGAACCTCAGAAGGAAATAAATGAAGTACTTCAAAAGGATGTCGAGGAAGAATCTCGACAGGAAGGGGACGATGAAGAAAATTTGGGACAAACAGTTGGTGAAGATGATGAGGGACAGCAAGAAAAGGGTGAGTCTAACGAGGAAAATGAGAGTAATGAGCAGGTTCAAAATGAAGTGAGTGAAGAGCCACTGGGTCAAACGATTGATGGAAATGAAGATGAACTTCAACAGGAAGAAAATGGCGAGGATTCCCATGGTCTTTCGAGGCAATCGATCGAAGGAAATGAAGATGAACTTCAACAGGGTGAAACTGGCGAGGAGTCTCAAAAATCTATTCATAGTGAGAATGAAGAGGAACAACCAAAAGAAGGAGAAGAAGACGAGGAGCATCATAAGGACGATGATAATGAAGAGGAACATCCAAAAGTTGGAGAAGAAAACGAGGAACATCAAAAGGACGGTGATGATGAAGAACCTCAAAATGAAGGCGAAGACGAAGAAGGATCCGTTAGTGGGAATGAGCAAAAAGATGGAGACGTAACAACTTTAATGCAAAACATTTTTGGAGATGATATGAGCGATGATGATGATGAGAAGGCAAATGATGGAGGACAGGTTTTTCTTTGTTATTTTAATTATTAATTTTACTAAATGAAATTGGCAGGGGTCAAGTGGGGCAAAAGGATTTGGATCTGATGATGAACCTAAACTCTTGCGTGTTGAACAGGATGAGGAAGAAGACGAGTTTGTTTTAAATAATTATTTTAAAATGATTCTTTTTCTTTAGAGACACTCACGGACGACGATGGGATTTTGATATAATGCTAGACAAAAAGAAGCTTGATCGACGACGTCGCCGCCGTAGAGATGGTTCTATTGATTTAATGGCCGATGCTGATGATCAAATTAGGGAATTAATTGATGCTATGAATGAAGCGGCTAATGTATTAATTTTTTTAAACTGAACCTTTGCTAAAAGATTTTTTTATTCAGGATGATCGTACAGCAAATATTGACCGTCGACCAGCTGTTAAGAAAAGGAAGATGCTTTCTTTGGTGAAAAATGCGTTGGTTAAAGTTGATCTTTTTGAGGCAATGCTTGAAAATGGTTTTTAAATTTTATTCAATTTTTTGTTTAAATTTTCATTTAGGAATGGTTAGTGCTATAAGTGAATGGTTAGCTCCTTTGCCTGATAAGTCACTTCCTGCCTTGGAAATTAGGTTTTTTTTTAATTTTCAAAGATGCTGGATTGTTTAAAATTTTATTTTTAAGATGCACCTTTTTGAAAATTCTTGAACGTTGGCCTAATTTGGAACAGGTTTTTATTTTATTTTTTGAGTTTAATTTTTGACAACATTTCCATGTTAGAGAGCTTCCTTCTGTCAAAAAAATTTTTTATTTTCAAGGGAATCCTCAAACAATCTGGTCTGGGTAAAGCAGTTATGTACTTATATAAACATCCAAAAGAAACAAAAGAAAATAAATTAATTGCGGCAAAACTTATAAGAGAATGGTCTCGTCCAATCTTTCAGGTTTTTGCAAAAATATTTTTTTAATAAAAAAATCTTTTTATAGTTGGATAGCGATTTTCGTTCATTAAGTAAAGAAGAGCGTGTTCAACGTGATTATTCACAAATGCCACTTGCTAAACGCAAAAGACTTTCGTTTGTTTTTTTTTAATTTTTTTCGAAGTTTTTGAAATTTTTAGAGTAGATGAAGATAATAGTGGACAAATATTTTCTTCAAAAAAATTGCAAAAAGAAAAGGATGATGGGCCAAAACGTCCTGGTGATCCTGGCTTTATTATGCGAGCTCGTGTTCCTAAACTTTCAACTAAAGATTATGTTGTTCGACCACAACCACAAATTGAAAGCCAATTTAGAGGAGAAACAAAAAATAAACAGGTTTTTGTTTTTTGAATAAAATAAAAGGAATGCGGACATATCGGGACAGATTATGAGATATTTCATTTACGAAATTTTACCCTGCTGATTTCGGCACTTCGGGCCACTGGGTATGTTTTTTACACGTCTTTGAACTACATAACGTAATCATACAAGAGGTTATTTCTCTCTCGTCAATCCCAATCTGTCCTTTCGAATATGTCCTTTTTTCCTTACGATACACCGAATAAATCAAAAAACGGTTTTTTAAAGGCTTCTCGTTTTGTTCGAGCTCAACGTGAATTTCGTCAAACAAATAAAACTGGACTTGTTAAACGTGCTGTTGGTGTGAGTATTTCTGGAAAAAATCTTTGAAAATTTTTTAAGAAATAATTTGAGGTTTTTCTTCTCTTTTATTTTGTATACAACTGGTCTTTTCTTTTTTATTTTTTGGGGGGACAGGTTTCTTGATGATTTTGTTAATTTGGTCAAGTTATGTACTTTTATTTTTGGCAAAATCTAAAAATAATTTAAAGAACCTGTCTTTTATTTTTTCCCCTTTAATTTAATTATATAAGAAATTTATTTAATTTTGAATTAATGTAAAGAATTCTTTTTGAATGAATTTTTACATTTTTTTTCATCAAAACAAGTATTTTACCTATTCTACTTTGCTTACATTTATTATTTTTTAGTTAGTAAATATAAAAAAAATTTTCTTTTATTTAAATGCAATTTTTTAAAATGCCTTAATTTTGCATTAAAAAGATTTTCTTTTATATATTTTTTTCTATTTATGCTAATGACAATTTTATTTTAAATTAAGCTTTTTTCAATTAGAATAGGATATTCATGTGACAGATTTCTATTTTTTCAATCAATTTTGAAGTGTTGTTAGTTTTTTGTTTTATTAGCTTGTTTAAATGTCAGGTTTTTTTTTTATAAATTTTTTTTGAAAATTTTTTAACTTACAGGTGCAATATTTTTTTCGATTTCCGGTGCTTGTATGATGACTCCTTATTAAATTTTAAATTTATTCAATCTTTTAATGGAAGAAGAAATAAAAGAAATTAATGAAGAAGAAATTATTGTTGAAGAAACTCAAAATACTAGCAATTTAGAAACTCCAAAAAGCAGCGATTTGTATCCTTATCAATGTTTACTTTTTGTTTTTACTCAATTTGGTTATTTGGCTGTAGTTCCTTCAATGCTTTCTACAACATTTTTTGAACCAAATGAGGTTTTTAATTTTTTTATTCTTTTGTACTTGAGGGTTTTCATAATGGTAATGAAGTAATGAAGGAACGAAGTAATGATTGTTTGAGAAAAATATCGGGAGTGGGCATAATTTTTTTCCTCTGACCACTATCAATCGGTATAAATATAGTCGCAAAGGCTGGTTGCGATAGATAACCCACAAGTACTACTATTTTTTAAGTATTCTTTTTAGGAATTTTGTCAGAACAATTTTAATTCAAGTCATTCGGAAGAGAATTTGTCAAATTCTACCAATTATTTCGATGAAAAATTATTCTACTCTCTTTTGATTGAATGGAATCAACATTGTCAAAAATCTATTTGGACTGCTTGGATATCAACAATTGTTTTGTTCGGAACAATTTTCGGATCATTTGCTGCTGGTTTTATGGCTGACAGATTTGGAAGGGTTTCTCTTTTTTAATAATTTTTTTAAATAAAATTTTTTAGAAACCTGTTGTTGTTTGTTCAATGTTTGCAATTTGTTTATTTAATTTTTTACTTTTTATGGTTGGTGGTATAAGTCAACTAGCTGCTTTCTTTATTTTCTTTTTTATTGGAACTGCTTGTGGTGGATATATGGTTACAAATATGGTTTGATATTTTAGACGCCCATTTTCTTTAAGTAACTTTCCCTAATTTTTCAATATTTTTTAAGGATGACTAACTAGCCTGGGTTTTTGTTAATTAAAGTGTTCAAATCTCCTTGGGAATTACTTTAAAAATTATTTTGTTAAATTATAAAAAATCTTTTTTCAGGTTTTACTGGTTGAATTTCTTCGTAATCCAAATGCTAGGCTTTTAGTTGTTTCATTAAATGGATGGCCTTTGGGTATGATTGGAACTGCTTTTTTGGCTTATTTTTTGTGTAATTGGAGATTTTATTGTCTAGCAATTTCTCTTTTTGCTTTGCTTTTTTCTATTATTATTGTAAGGTTTTTTAAAGAAATTTGAGTTTATAAATTTCTTTCAGCAATATTTTGCTTGTGAAAGTATTCCTTGGTTAATTCAATCTGGTAAAGACAGAAAGGCTCATTACGCACAAAAACATCTAATTCGGGTTCTATTTTAACTTGAAATTTTTTTAATTTTAAAAATTTTTTAGATAAATTCTTTTCTTGCTCTCTCAAAAAAGGCTGAACAACAAAATGAAAATTCTTCAAATTTATTTTTACCTCTTAATGAAAATGGAGGAATTGACTCGATAAAAAATGATGAAAAAGAAGAAATTGTCGTTTACAATTATTTTGATTTATTTCGACACAAAACAATAAGAATTCGTCTTTTGGCTCTTTTATTTTGTTTTGGTTCTTCAAGTATTGTTTCTTTTGGACTTTATTTTTCTGCTGAATTATTACCTGGATTGAGGTTTTTTTAATCATTTTTGTTGTTAATTTTGAATTTTTAAAAAGATATTTGAATATTGCTTTAATGGGCTTTTGTAAATTATTATTTGGATTTTTACCTTTTATTGCTTCGAATTTTGTTGGGAGAAAGCCAATACTTTTAATTTCTATTGGTAACTAATTTTTAAATTTTTTAAATTAAAAAGTATTTTTTATAAAGGTTTTGCAATGCTTTCTGCTTGGTTTTTAGTTTTTTCTCAAATTTTTGGTTTAAATCAACGCTTTTTAATTACTTCTTTTGGACTTTTAATGACTGGAGCAGTTGATCCAAATTGGAAAATTATTCATTTATTTTCTATTGAATTGTTTCCAACACCTATAAGAAATATGGCACGGTTTGGAATTTTTTTTATTTTAAAAAATTTTATTTTTGTTTAAGTGCTCTCTGTAATGTTTTTGCTCGTTTAGGAAGTCTTTCAGGTCCTTGGGTTATTTTAACAAAAATTGGCGGAAATCAATTCTTTCCTTTTTTAACTTTTGCTTTACTTTTAACTTTACAATTTTTTATTTCTTTAATATTTTTACCTGAAACTAAAGATAAACCCCTTCCAGATTTTTTATTTAAATCTTCTTTAAATTCTCAAAAGCATTTAAAAAATAATTCGTCATCCCCTCTTTCTTTAAATGGATAATTTTAAATTTAATTTTGAGAGCAAAATTTTCAAGGGCCTTTTACATTTTTAAACTTTTAATAAGTTTATAAATTCAAAAATCGTCCAGCCTATTAAGAAATTTTTTTGCTCTCAAATACTTTTTTAGGATCTCTAATATTTTTAATAAATCAGTGTAGAGGGCCAAAATATGACCAAAAATTATTTTTAATTTTTTGTTTTATCCAGAAAGATTAAATTTAAATTTTTGGTTCCTTTCCTCCTAATCTTTTTTTGTTTATAAAATCTACATATTTTTATTAAATTTCCTGCATAATTTACAAATTCATTCCTCACCAGAATTTTTTTAGCTATTTATTTCCTTTTTTTACCTATATTTTTATTGTTTTTTTAAAGTTAAGATAAGTAAACGATAATTAATTTTTTTAAATATTCTTTTTGTATGTTAAGGTTAATTTAGAAAATAGTTTTGAGTTTTTTTTTTAATTTTTTGGGTTTCCATGGAAATTTATTATTATAAGCATGTGTGAATATTGAATGCTGTCTTTACATCTTTTAAACATTTTCGCAATTTTTGCCGTTTTCCTTTTAAATAAAAGAATTTCAGGTTTATTTTAAAAATATTTTTTACTTAATATTAAAATTTATTTTTCGGTTAAAAAATGACTTCAAAAAATAATTCTTCATTTGCTTTGGCTCCTCTACTAAATTTACCTCAAAATGGAACAACAAAACGTCTTTCAATTAATTATGAACAAGAATCTTCTCTACCTGTGTTTGTCCCAACTTCAAAAAACCCATCGAGTGGAAAGATGACTTTATTTTTGGATAAATATGAAAAAATTGCTAAAATAGGTTTAAATTATTTTGTAAAGATATTTTAATTAAAATTTTTTAAAGGTGAAGGTTCTTATGGAATTGTTTTTAAATGTCGAAATAAAGAAAATGGAGAGGTAAAAATATAAATTTAATTGGGAATATAGCACGGGTAGGACGAGTTACCTGAAAACCTGCCCGAATTTTTTCTCACCCCATTCCATCCCTGGAATATACCTGTCATTCTTTTAAGAAGACTCTCTCTAGACAGAGCTTCGCTATAAGATTGACTATTTCTTCCTTTTTTCCAGAACAGGATTCAAAAAATTAATTAAAAAATTTTTTTATTTAAGATAGTTGCGATCAAAAAATTTGTTGAGACTGATGAAGATCCAGCTATTAGGAAAATTGCTTTTCGTGAGATAAGAATGTTAAAAGTATTATTAATTTTTAAAATAATTTAGCTTTCCTTTATTTTTAGCAACTAAAACACGTAAATTTGGTTAATTTAATAGAAGTTTTTAAACGAAATAAAAAGCTACATTTGGTTTTTGAACACTGCGAAAGAACAGTTTTGGATGATTTGGAGAAATATCCTAACGGGTTTAAATTTAAATTTTGTAGAATAAATTAGGAATGTTTCGGGTTTTTATCGATCTGAAACCGGATCCGAATTTTTTTTTGAAAATCTGGCCCGTCTTTTTTACAAGCCGTAACATTTCTACAATCAATGTTTCTAAAATAGTCCTTTCTAGATGTCCTGAATTGTTAACAAAAAATATTATTTTTCAATTACTTGAAGCAACTCGTTTTTGTCATTCTAAAGGATGTGTTCACAGTTTATTATTTTTTGTTTAATATTTAATTAAAAAAATATTTTAGGAGATATAAAACCAGAAAATATTCTTTTAACTTCACAAAATGTTGTTAAACTTGGAGACTTTGGATTTGCCAGGATTTTAAGTGAGTTTTTATAAATAACTTGAATCATCAAACAAAAATGTTTTTAAAGACCCAAACGAATTACTTACTGATTATGTTGCTACTCGTTGGTATCGTGCCCCAGAACTTTTAGTAGGCGACACTAGATATGGATTTCAAGTAGATGTTTGGGCTATTGGATGTGTTTTTGCTGAAATGTTGACTGGAGAACCTGTATGGCCCGGAAGGTTTTTAAGAACTTGTTAATTTTGAAATATTTTTTTTATTAAAGATCTGATGTTGATCAACTTTATTTAATTATTCAAACACTTGGTATATTTCTTATAAATTTAAGAGAAATTTTTTAATTTTCCAAGGTCAAATAACTTCAAGGCAAATGCAAACATTTTTTGAAAATTCCTATTTTCGCGGTATCAGTATACCAGAACCTGAACATTATGTTGGGTTAGCCCAAAGACTTGCACAAACAGAAAATCCAGA